ATTGAGATCCTCCTGCCTCAGCCTCCCAAGTGTTGTGATTACAGGTGTGCACCACCACGCCTGGCAAAAATTATTTAGAATTTAAATGGCTCTCCAAACTTTGCAACTTGCAGATGGCAAGGGGAAGGGTTCTGCACCTGGACAGAACACAGAAGGAGCATATGTCTCATGGAACAGTCTCCCCTCTGCCGAGACTTCTGGACCCCGGGAGTCTGTCTCCCTCCTTGCGCCACTCTCTGCACTGCTCAGGAGCCTCCCCGCAGCACAGGCTCTGTTGAAACTATTTGTCACCTTCCAGGCTCCGCCAGCGGACAGCCAAGGCCCCGGGTGAGTTGCAGGATGGTTGGAAGTTACAGCCCTGTCTGGCACCGAGCGCTGTGTCCAGACGCCCCGCACTCTGAGAACCACCTCCTTGTACCTCTGCGCATTCTGAGAACCAGAGGAATCAGGTCGTGACGCGGCGTGCAGAGCGGCACTCGTGCCACAGGGGACTCCAGCTGGATGAACGTCCGTGATGCAAAGGAGGCCAGGAAACAAGATTCTTTACACATTCCTGAGATAGCGCTTGCTGGGTAAGATTTCTTACAAACCAGCGTGATTTCACTTCACCAGGAAGATTAGGTTCTGTGGAAATAGAGTGGAGGGGCTGAAAAGTGTTGCATATGAACTTTTCACAATGCTGAATTTTATTAATTCATTTAAAACGTGAATAAGGAAAGGAAGGAGGAGATAGAATTTTTTGTGCTGAAAAATTCAGAGAAAATTTTCAAATTTAAAAGCCATTTTTTTTTTTAGCCCCAGCACCTCAAAAAAGCAAACCCAAAAATATTTCAATGAGAAATGTACTTTGTTCTTCGCCTACCCAACACACAGTCTCAAAAAATATCCTCATTTTTATTTTCCTGCAGGACCCAAGACCTTTGCACAGAGGCACATACCCAATTTTTTCTATTTTTTATTTTGAGACAGTCTCACTCAGTTGGTAAGTTGCCCAGGTGGGACTTGAACTTGTGATTTGCCTGCCTCAGCCTCACAGAGGGCTGGAATTACAGGCAAGTGCATCATTGGTTTAAAATTCTGACTTGTAAAATATGACCTAAAAATTGGAAATAGCAAAGGTGGGTGTGGCCATGCACACCTGTAATCCGAGCAGTGCGGAGGCTGAGGCAGGAGGATCACTGACAGTTTAAGGCCAGCCCAGGCTACATAGTGAATTCAACAGTAGATTACATGGCGAGACTTTGTCTCAGAAAACCAGAACAAAACCAAAAAAATGAAGAACTTGTTCATCTACACGTACCTTTTCCAAAAGCTAAATGACAGGACCAGGGATTTAGCTCAGTGGTGCCACCACCTGCCTGGCAAGTGTGAGGTCCCGAGTTTGACACCCGGTACCAAAAAAAAAGCCAAATTCCAAAATAATTTGCACAAACTAATTTTTATTTATTAATTTTTTTTGAGACAGAGTCTTGCTTCAGTTCAGGCTGGTCTTGAATTTACAGCCATCCTTCTGCCTCAATCACTTCTCCCAAGTAATGGGATTACAGGAGTGTGCCACCATGACTGGTTTAAAACCAATCATTTTTTCTTAGAGAACTTTTCCTCATCCTTTGGGATTTAATATAAATGCTACTGCCTGCTAAAAACCTTCTCTAATGCTTCTAGATAAGGTAAAATCACAGGGCGTGGTGGTGCACGCCTGTAATCCTAGCACTTGGGAGGCTGAGGCAGGAGAATCGCTGTGAGTTTGAGACCAGCCTGGGCTACATAGTGAGTTCCAGGTCACTCAACTACATAGTGAGACCCTGTCTCAAAAAAACAAAACAAAACAAAAAAATAGATAAGGTAAAATCAATTAATATAAGGATGATTGCCAAGAATACTACCAATTTACCTGCATTACTTTGTTTCATCTTCAGACTAACCTGAGGAGTAAGCCATTCTATTTCACAGTTGAGAAAGTTCAGCGCAAGACCAGAAAGCCTGTGTCACTGTAACCTCCGCACAGGCAAAGTGACTTCAGTGCTCTTGCTGTCACTGCTCCACTGTCCTACTCAAAGCGGATATGCTCTCTAAGCACGTGTTTTCTTTTTTTTTAATTATTGAGTTTATTGGTACATTTTAAGTATCCAGTACAGTTACATTCATTATCGGGATCTTGTACCTTTACATGCCAGGTCTTGGTTCTCATTTTTTCCCCTTGTCCCTGCCCTCCCTTCACCCCAAGCACTCTTTTTCTATCACAGAATTTGTAGTAAATATTAGTGGATTGCCAGCCCAGCCCTTACCCTATTCATAATTTTTTTTTTTTTTTTAGTTTTTTGAGACAGGGTCTCACTATGTAGTTGAGACTGACCTGGAACTCACCAGTGTATCCCAGGCTGATCCAGAACTCATAGCGATCCTCCTGCCTCAGCCTCCCAAGTGCTGGGATTACAGGCGTGTACCACCTCACCCGGCTGTTCCTAATAATTTTCTTTTAGTTTGTGGTACTGAACTTTGTACTCAAGTAGTGCTGGGTGCTGAGCTACAACTTTAGCCCCTTTTTTTTAATCTTTCATTTTGAGACAGGGTCTTGCTAAATTGATCAGGCTGACCTAGAACTTGTGATCCTCCTGTCTCAGCCTCCTAGGTAGCTATAACTACAGGCTTGCAACATCACACCTAGCCCTAACCATTTTCTATTTCAATTTGGTTAGAAAGTCTTCTTCATTCTTATACCCAAGAAAGAAACCCATGATGCAGGCTAAGCCAATCAACACGCTCTTTCATTACTCACAGTGATTGGTCCAGGGTAGACACATGCCCTAAGCTGGCCCAATCAGAATAAATCTTGAAACGTTTTTATCTTTATTAAATTTATGGGTACAATTTAGGTATACAATACAGTTACATTCATCATTGGGATCTTGTACCTTTACAAGACTTATCTTGGTTCTTATTTTTCCCTGTTCCCCCTGGCCTCCCTTCACCCTCTCCACCCATCTCCACTTACAAAGACTTTGTTTGCATGTTTTCCCTTTTCACGTATTTTTTCTTTCCGCTTTTTACCTTTCTCCTACCCCTCCCACTTCCTCTACTCTTTCAGACCTTTTCTTCTTATTCCACAATGTCAACTACGCATTTTGATCCTTATTTACACTTTTAGTTTTTCACCCCAGAGAAACTATTTGGCATTTCACATGTGTGTCTTATTAATTTCACTTAAGTTCATGGCCTCAATGTGTATCCACTTAGCTATAAATATCTCCAGTTTTTCATTCTTTATGGCTGAGTAGTACTCCATTGTATAAAAACAAAGCAAAACAAACAAACAAAGCCCCCATCTTCTTTATCCAGTCTCCAGTTTGGTGGGCATTTGGGCTGTCTCCAAGTTTTAGCTGTTACAAACTGTGCCGCTATACACATGGGTGCACATGTATCACTGTGGCATGATCCTTTTAATTCTTCTGAAAGATACCCAGCAGGGGGATGGCTGGGTCAAGTGGAACCTCTCGTCCTAGTTCGAGGGATCTCCATATGCATCTCCACAGTGGTTGCCCCAGTCTGTGCTCCCACCAGCGATGGAGAAGGCTTCCCATCTTGAAACTTTTGCTGGGATACCGGGACAGACTGCTCTTGCCCGCCCTGTGTGAATGATGGAGCTGCAGGAGTTGTCAGGCGCTACCTGGGCTTCACAGAGCCTCACACTGACCGCACGGCCTGCAGCACAGAACCACAGCGGAGACAGGAAGAGGAGCAAGTGCTGGTTCCAGACCTGCGCTTCGAAGCCACCTCTGAATGTCATAGCCGCCTGTGTGGTTACTGAACTGGGGTGCTGTTCTGTGACCTGCATTTTTTTCTTGTTTATTTAGTTGCTTCTTTCCCTCAATACCCTGAAATCGTGAGGGCAGGAATCACAGCTCTCTTGTCGCTCTTGTGTTCACGATTCCCCATAACTGGCGGGTGCTGTGTGGCTGCATGTTGGGCAAGGGACATGAGCGAATGTCAGATCTCAGGGGGCTGTGAGTGACCTGAACCAAACCTACAGTTTGCTTAGATTTCATGACATTTGCAGAGCTTGCATTTTTCAACATGAATCATCTGAAAATTCTGGTGTAGCTAAACCAGGTGAGATTGAAATTAATTTTCTGATTTCTAAAATATTTCAATTGTACTACATCAGCAAAGTCTTCATTGAATAGGTTTTAACTCCTTCCACAAAATTCAAACAACTTCAAATAAATAACTCTCATTGGACATTAGGCAAAAGATAAGTACACTTAAAATGTCAAGGTTAATTGTGTGTACCAGGAGGTTGGGGCAGGAGGATTGCCATGAGTTTGAGGCCAGTCTGAATTACACAGTGAGACTTTGTCTCAAAAAAAAAAAAAAAAAAAAAAAAGTCATTGTGTATAATACAGATTTGCATCAAGGTGTGTTTACCCAATGATCTTCTTTTGTGTTTTACCTTTACCCTGAAATAACCAAAAACCAAACAAAAGCAGGATAAACTAGAAACATTTATTAAAGCAACCATCAATTTTATATTTTGAGACCTGAAACACCAGAGATTTACTGACGGGCTCTATAAATAGTAATTTGGGAGGCTTACAGGTAAAATATACATTTGAAGCTTAACAACAGCAGAATGGAAGAGCCAAGAACCCTTAGGGTCAGTCAGCCTGACTCCCCTATTCACCATGCAGAAACAGAAGACCTGCGGGAAGGTCAGCTACCTTTCATTCAACCTGAAAATACATCAAGTACTCACTAGGTACTTGCTATATGGCAGATTTAGAGTCAGATATTGAAAAAGAGATCTCTCCCTAGGCAGGCATGGTGGTGCATATCTATAATCCTACTCTGGGAGGCTGAGGCAGGAGGATGGCAAGTTCAAACCCAGTCTACATGATTTAGCTGTACTTTGCTTTACAAAAATTTTTTTTTAATTAAAAGGGACTAGAGATATAGAAAAATCTCTCGAGGCGTTTATAGTCTAGTTGGGAAACCAAAGCTATATGCCATTTAGTGTCCTCGGCTCTGTGGTAGAAGGGTCGCGCTATGGGAAGAGGCGGTGCGAGGTGACCATGTTCACCTCACGTGATCCTGGAATCTTGAAGATTTGCCAGACGCACCGTGGGCAGCGAGGAATGAGCAGCGGCGGGCGCAATGGGTGGTGGCGGAGGAGAAGGAATTTGAGCAAGAGCAAAGGGCATGAGGGGAGGTGCGCAGCCAGCAGCAGCAGGCTGAGAGAGCCAGGAACTCTGCGTTAGGGGATTAGCTGGGAGGAGAGGCAGAGCTGAGGCTGAAAACCAACGGCTTGGCGCCTCTCATCTCCTCCTGTGCGCCCTGGCTGTGAACGTCCAGGCTGCGGCGTAACGCTGACCTGAGTGACATGTGCACGGCGGTGAATTTACTTCGCCTGTGCGGGAGACACTCGGCTGGAAGCACAGGCAGAGGGAAGATGAGCGTCCAGAGTGGTGGCACAGGTCTCACCCAGGCACTGCGCAGGGAGGTGGAGCAGGAAGGAGGCAGGAGATTAGGGTGTGGCCAGCCGGCTGGGAAGGGAGGCGAGGCCTGTCGATCACAGAAATCTGGGACTTATGCAGAGAAACAGTCCCAAGTGCACCATCATGCCTGGCTCTTCAGTTCCTCTGCTGTGAAGTCAAGCAGGGTTTTGACAGGACAGATAGCCATATGTCAGCCTGAGGGGTGGGAGATGCAGTAGAGGGTCTGCCGGGAGTGGAGGCACACACCTGTACTCCCATCATCTGGAGGCTGAGGCAGGAGAATCCCTGAGTTCAAGGCCAGCCTGAACTATAAAGCAAGACCTTGTCTCAAAACAAAAAACAACCGAACAAACAACCCTGCTTTCTCAAGGAAGCAAGAACAGTGGGTGAGGTACAGAAGAGGAGACACTGGAAAGCAGAAGCGGGCTTCGGGTGCAGGGCAGGGGCCCAGAAGCAGGCAGGAGTGGAGCTGGTGCTCGCTGGGGTACAGGGGACTGAAAGAGCCTTAGGTGAGGCAGGAAAATGAACCTGCTCAACCCCAAGAGCCAGGGTGCTTTTGCCCTGGGTGATGGACTCAGAGAGGAGCTGGGATGTCCTGGCCTGGGCCGAGTGTGAGCTCCCGACCTGCACAGACAGGGAGACGCGGTCCTGGAGCTCACAGCCTGTGCGGGGACCGAGCCACCCTCTGGCTCAAGGACCAGATGGCCCTCTTCCTAGGGTTACCCCAGAAGGGCGTGAAAAATCCATAGAAAGCCAGTGAAGTGCTGCGGCTTGAAATCCCAGCACTCTGGGAGGTGGGGCAGGAGGATCACAAGTTGGAGCCCAGCCTGGCACGCGTAGTGACTTAGAAAGACCCTGTCTCAAAATGAAAACAGATTGAAAAAGGACTGGGATGAGGTGCAGAGGCCTGTGTTCAACCCCAGCACTCAGAACGAAATGAACAAAGCAGACTTGGTCCGGGAGGCCTCCGAAGCACAGTGATCAGGTGGCGAGAGATGTGCGGAGGAGAGGGACGGAGCACAGACAGAACCTGCCTGTTTGCAGTAAGCCCACAGACTCAGTCTCAAAGCAAAGGGTTACAATAAAGCGTAACGTACTTCCAGCTGCTGCCAGGACTCTGCTCTGTGGCAAAACTCGGTAGCTCAGAGCAACTTTGTATCCCCAGGCAGCTGGGCGTGGGCAGTGTCCCCGGCAGGACAGGGCCCGGCACCAAGCTCGGGGCTCCCGGCTGGCCGCGTCTTGTCTGCAGGACGTGGGGTCTATTTCCTGTTCCAGTCGGAGACCCAGCTAGAGAGGCTGGCAGTTACCTGGCTCCTGCTCCCACAGCGCGGCTGTGGGTTCAGGTCACCTCAAGTAAGGGCCACAAGACGAGAGCCAAGCGCTCCTCCTGTTCTCAGCTCTGGGCACTTCTGACGCCAGATGTGAGGGAACACAGCATCTGCCCTGGAGCCCAGCAGCCGGTTCTCCCCACACGCACCACCAGGCCTTTTCCCCAGTGCTGACGCTGTCTCAGGCCCCCGCAGAGGGAGGGCGCAGTCTCACCAAACATCCCCCACTTCGGAGGCCACTTGCAAGTGTGTTGTGGCCTGTGTTTCTGACCAGCAGGCTATAAACCAGGGTCCCACGACCCCTCCTGGAGTTTGATGAACTTCTTAGAGTGGCTCACAGAGTGTGGGGACGTGTGTCACTTGCATTCATTATAGAGAATATTACAGGACTCAGGCGTGGAGGCGCACGCCTGTGATCCCAGCTCTCAAGAGGCTGAGGCAGGAGGATCACTGTGAGTTTGAGGCCAGCCTGGGACTACACAGTGAGTTCAAGTCCAATCTGAGCTACATAGCAAGACCCTGTCTCAGAAACCAAAAAATCTATAGATGAACAGCTAGAGGGAACGTGTATGGGGTGAGGCGTGTGGTCTGGAGCACCCTGTGCTTTCTGACCACCTCCTGTCTAGCTGGTGAGGTCCCCTCGAGCACGGCTAGGTTTTTTTTGTTTTTTTTAATGGCAGCTTCAATACCTCTCAGCATGATTGTTTAGGTCACTGGCTGCTGGTGACCAGTGACGTTCTCGTCCTCTCCCACCCTGAAGCCCTCCAGGCACTGGCAGCCGTCTCATTACCATGCGAAAGACAGGCTTATCAGCTGGAGATTACAAGGCTGCCAGGAAACAGATGAAGACAAACAGTGTGCCTCACAGTCTTGGGATGGCCAAAGCAAAGTGGATCAAGGTTGGAAAAACTCCTGCAGCCGACCCTGAGACCAAAATAAAGGCATGAGCACAGAACTGTATCTCAGGAAGAGAGGAGGCTACACGGACAACAAGCAAAGTCCCCCTCTCAGAGCAGGAATGTTCCACGTGAAGTTAAATGAATGGAATAATCTTTAATCTTTAAAAATCTTTTTTTGCGGGTGGACATGCTGAGGGCCTTTATACCATGCTCCACCCACAGCCCTTTTAAAATTTATTTTGAGACAGGGTCTCACTAAGTCACTCAGTTGTCCAGGCTGAGCTCAAACGTGGGATCCTCCTGCCTCAGCCTCCCAGAGTGATACATTACACGCATGTGCCACCACATCAAGCTACAAAATCTTTAAAAGAAGTAGCTTAAGTTAAAAAGATAAATCAAGGAATCAAAGCTATAAAATAGAATGAGAGCTGAGCATGGTGGTACATGCCCATGATCAAAGTACTGGGGAGGCTGAGGCAGGAGGATCACTGTGAGTTTGACCAGCCTTGGCTACACAGTGAGTTCAAGACCACTCCGAACTACATAGTCAGACCCTGTTTCAAAATAAATAATAAATAAATAAATAAATAGTCAGACCGTTTCAAAATAAATAATAAATAAATAAATAAATAAAATAAAATAAAAATAGAAACAAAACAAGAGTGGGGGAATATAAAAAAAAAGAAAATTAGAAGTTTTGAAAGTGAACAAGATACTTGTCAAAATTTGAAGTCTGTAGAAGAGGTAAACTCTAGAAGGACAAAGTAAACAGGAGGTAGGAGGGGTTGTCACAGAGATTCCAATGCAGAGAAAGAAACTATAAACAGGATGCAAAGGCACTCCCAGAGATCCAGAGAGAGGGGCTCCCACAGGCGGACACACACACACACACACACACACACACACGCACGCACACACGCACGCACGCGTGACCGGAAATTCCAAGGCTGGGAGCCCAGGCTTGGAGGCTGAGGCAGGGGGATTATTCCCAGTTGGAGGCTGGCGTCAACTATAGAGTGAGGCCTTGTCTCAAAAAACCAAAACCCACCAACTAAACAAACAAACCAACAACACCAAAACATAAAAGGAAATGAAAAGGAAGAGTAAATGATCGGAGCTCCTGAGGGGTCGGAGAGGATCCCACCGGAGAGATCAGGACCCCATTCAGGGGCAGGAGCGAGGCTCAGGGCTTTCGGTGGACAGCAGAAGGAACCGTAACTGAGCCCGGGGACCCGGCCTTTGACTGTCGGGAGTGACCCCGGCGTGGGCAGGGTGACCGCACCTGTGGAACGCGCGCGGCCGAGTGCAGACCGTCTGGGGAGCTCTGCTCTGAACAGGAGGACAGAGGACAACAGCCGCGGAGAGAGCGGAAGGGCGGGTGGAGGACACGAATGGGCACCTTCTTGATTTGCAGTGCTGCGAGTTGAAGCCGGAGACTGCACTGAGCTACGTCCTCAGGCCTTTTCCTTATTTTTTTATGTTGATCCAAGAGTTGCGAGATTGCCCAGGCTGGGTCCGAACTTGTGATCTTCCATCCTTTGAGTTGCTGGGATTACAGGCCTGTGCCATCATGCCTGGCTGTAAAAGTCCACAGCCTTCTCTTTTCTTGGTACCAGGAATAGAATTGAGGGCCTCAAGCTTGCCGGTAGGCACTGCACTGCTGAGCTACAGCCCTAGCCTAAAATCCACAGCTTTTTAAATCAACAGAACAAATAAACTTAATGGGCAACGCAAGAATTCACTATAGCACAGGTACAATGAATGGAGAACATCTTCCAAAATTCAGCAGAAAGATCTATGAAAATAAAAGATCTTTTGTAATAAACTATCTGCACTTCTGCTATTCTTTTAAGTAGATATTTTAGAAATAGTTTTGGAGGCTAAGAACTCACACAACATAAAGAAAGGTTTAACCTCAACGTACAAGGTGTTTCAGTGAAGATATAAAGTGCAAGTATCAGAACTTGATTCTGAACAAAAAACATAGAGTAAGTCGTTTACAGGCACAAAAAAAAAAAAAAAAAAAAAAACCAGTAAAGCAAAATCCTGCCAATTCTCCAGATAACGCTACATAGAAATAAAACTAGACTGTTACACCTCAGTAATCTTGATGTACTTATTAGGAATTTGGGACAATTTTGACTAAATCTTAGCAAAAGTTTACTTTTCACCATTATTAATCAAATTACAGTATAAACCATATTCATAAAGCTCTTGTTTAAATTACTTTAGAGAACAAATTATGTTCAGATATCTTGTGCATACCATACTTAGTAACAATTTACATGTGAATTGTAAACATTTTAGTCCTACCCTCAAGGCATCCTCCTTAGCATCTCTGCCATTTTTGTGCTCACTTGGTCTTCACATAAAACCACTTTCTTAAAGATATACTGTGCCATCATGCAGAACTTAGTTAATTTCATACACTGAGTGTTACTCAAAGTATTTGATATAAATTAATTGGACAAAATTGGACCTTTACTTGGTCTTCTGTTTTTCCAAAGCAGAACAAGATAAATAAATTATGATTAAAATAGTTTATTGGGAGCCTGGCATGGTGGCGCATGCCTGTATCTTGGCACTCAGTACATGTGCTACAGAATCGAGCACTATCTGGGCACTCAGGAGGCTGAGGCAGGAGGATCACTGCAAATTCGAGGCCAGCCTGGGCTACACAGTGAGTTTAAGTCCAGTTTGAACTACATAGCAAGACTCTGTCTCCACAAAACAAAGCCAACCAAACAAGCCTTGTGCATACGTTTTGTTTTTTGAGACAGGGTCTCACTATGTGGTTGAGACTGACC